TGCCTTTTACTCAACTTATCTGTTGAGTAGATTAGCTTGATCTGCACGTACTAGTGTACGTGAAGTTTCGTGGCACCTCAAACAAAGGGTGCCCCTGTTACGCCTGGTAGTACTTAGTAGTCCGTCCAACGACTGATTAGTGTCCGTCCAATTATGAAAATGTTGGATGTAGAAGACGACAGCTTTCACGTCACACGTAAAGGCGATTCCCATCTGAGTGACTCAGAATGGGAGATAGTCGGCCGCATGAGTGTGCTCATGGGCGAACCCGCCATCAGTGGAATGTTGGAGTCTCAAAACAGAGACGAGCAACATGCTGCTATCAACAAGTTCCTACAAAGGGGAACTTGCCGTCGAACGACAGAAGATAGCCTTACTACATCATCAAGGCTCTCATCAGTCGATGGGTGGGCCGACGCACACGCGTCGACCCGAAAACTTGAAGATAGATATCTCAATGTACAAGGAAACAAATGAAGATTTTATTTTGAGATGGTTCGTCGAGTTATACGACGCCATCAGGGCCCGTCGCATCGAGGATGACGAGATGCAAGTCACCTTCACCCTGTCAAATTTGACAGGACGAGCAAAGACTTGGGCCTTAGGTCTCAAGCTCTACGACCCAAACGTGTTTGAGTCGTTAGGATCTTAGAGTCTTGACTCAAAGAAACGTTTGAGCCACCACGAGCCGAGTCCAGAGCACGCTCTGCACTCCTGAGGCCCAAACAAAGTAAGCGTTATGTGCACGCTTACGCACAACACCTCCGCTACCTTGCGAGTAGCGTCACGGAAAACCTGTTGATGAGCACACGCTCATCGACGTGTTCATCTACGGCCTTGTAGATGGACCGGTGAAGACCTACATGTTCAGAGAGGACTTTCATGCACTGGAAAATGCGATAGCGTATGCGGAACAAGAATACTTCAGCCTGAGAAAGTCTCAGGCTAACTCTTCAATCAATCGTCCGACGAAACAACAGGAAACAGAAGGTCCCGAACCTACGGATCTCTGTTGCATCGAGAGCGAGAACTCTCGCTCTCTGATTCACAAGAGAACGGCAAGATGCCATCGCTGTCAGAAGATTGGGCACTACGCTCATGATTATAGTGTCCCAAGCCCCACATCAAGTCCAATAACAGGACGAGATGACCGCCTTTGGCCAAGGAAGGGTCCGAGGCGTGGGTCCGACCATGTCGCTAAGCCGCGACAGAAAGTCGGATCGTCAAAAACGGTCAGGGTCAGTAGGGGCGGAGCACCCTTCTGATCCAGCAACGTCAAGAGATTTTGCAGTTGCTCCCAGCACACAGTCTCTGTGTGTTACTGCCCTTAGTGATGAGGTTTCACTCATCACTTTGAAGATCGAAGTGACAAGTGGAATGTCACTTCTTGCCATAGTTGACTGTGGGGCGTCGAACAGTTTCATTCGACACCAGTCGATAGAGGACAGTAGGCTTAACTATGCTGAGCGAGAGTTCCCTCTAACGAGGATGAAGGTGTGCCTTGCTACAGGCGCATCCATAACAGTCTAGTGGGAATCCACTACACGCTAGAAGGAAAGCAGTACGATGATGACTTTATCCTACTGGATTTGGATGTCAAATTTGATTTCATCCTCGGTCTGCCATGACTTAGAAGGTACTAGCCATGGATCAGCTGGCAGCATCGATCCGTGAAGATTCCTGCCGTTTGTTCATCAGATGGCCATCTGATGAACGTCTTGGAGCTTTCACAAGCGTGTGGATGTACTACGAGTGAGGGCGATGACCTCACTTGTGGTACGGTCGTTAGTATGACTGCATAAGATCACAGTGTAGGAGGCCACTACACTGTGGAACCAGCTTCCGGCACCTGTGTAGAGACACAGGCTGCGCCGAGGGTTCACCACTTGAAGAGGTCGAGTGGACTGAAACACGGATGCACACCATGAACACACACAGTGCATCCAAGTAGAGAATTTAATGTCGTTCAGGATGAACAACATGCTTAAGCGAGATCGAAAAATAGAGTCGATCGTAGCGCAAACACGATCGAATGAAATAGAATCGATCGAAGAGGGCATGACTGTGGAGTAAACCCACAGTCAGTACACATATTGGAAGGAGGTTCCAGCGTTCCTGAGAGTGATAACTCCCGAAAGAGTTACGTCGAGGGTGTGGATTCCCAATCAACTGCAGATGTGTTTTCCCAGGAAATTACCGCGACAGTGAATGTCTTGGTGAATGACGGATCAAGTGTAGGCGCTTACACACTTGATCTGGTTACACCTCCGAATTCAGATTTGAAGGTAATCAAGTTGCCAACGCTAGAATCTAAAAGGTTCTTGCGAGATCTGCGTAGTGACAAGATCAAGCAGATCTGCGTACTCGTCACAGAGGACGAGGACGTCGCCGATACCAGGTCGGCACGAGTGTTTGCTGAGAATTAACGGGTTCTCAGTAGCTCATCGGTGGACGAGATTGTCCGCAATGCGAAAACCCGGATTGAGCGGTACACGTCTCAATCTTGGGAGTCTTTGAAGACAAATCCTTTGTATAAGAATGTGGTGGAATTCAGGGATGTTTTCCCTGAATGCGTGCCATGCGAGCTGCCTAAGGACAAAGGCACTCGGCATGAGATCGAACTAAAATTCGATTCGAAGTACTGTGTCATGAAGCAGTGGCTACTGCCTCGTGAACAGGTCACAGCGTTCGACAAATTCTTTGCCGATCGTTTAGCGGCTGGTCATGTGAGGGAATCAACATCCCCACACAGCTCTTTGAACTTCTGTGTTTGAAAAACCATAGGAGGGTGGCGGGTAGTGCACGCGTTCAACAAATTAAACGCTGCAACGGTACCGGCTCAAACGCCGATACCAAGGAAGGAAGTCATCATTGATGGTATGGCAAAAAACGCCATCTTTTCGTCCATGGATCTGATGGATAGATTCTATCAGATCCTCATTCGTGAAAGGGACATCCCGTACACAACAGTGAACACCCCAGTGGTATGCTCTGGGAGTGGCTAGTGATGCTACAGGAGCTATGTAACGCCTCTGCAACGTTTATAAGATGTGTTACGAATCTGTTGCGATCGGTGCGAGATTTTGCACCGAGTTACATCGACGATGTCTTCGTCCGTGGCCGGGCCATGGATGAAAAGACGGACGTGGAGGTTCATCGAATCCACGTCCGGGAGGTTCTTACACTTATGCGAGAGCATAAGTTGTTAGCGAGCCTCAAGTAGTGTGTAATCGCAGAGAACGAAATACCTATTCTTGGCTGCGTCGTGGGTAAAAACGGCGTACTTTCTGATCCGGAATAGATCGAGACGATCAGCGACTGGCCTGTGCCAGTCAACTTCAAGGGACTTCGAAAGTTCATTGGATTAGTGGCGTACTTGCACAAGAACTCGCGCAAGTACGCCGAGATGACCGTACATCTCTCTCGTCTGTTAAAGAAAACAGAGGTGATCATGGAGTGCTGAGTGTCAGCACTCCTTCGAAAGTATCAAGAAAAGCTTGGAGCAACCGCCTGTGTTGGCGACTGCAGACCAGTAAAGACCATTCCATGTGGTCTGTAAAATGACGCCAGCCATTTTGCAATCGGCTGCGCGTTAATGCAGTACGACTCAGACAGCGTTGGGCGCGTCGTACGATATCAATCGCGTCAGCTGCAAGCAGCTAAGTGATATTACCCGGTGCATTACAAGGAGCTCCTTGCCATGAAAAATTCACTGGCTTAGTTTCGGGTATTTCTCTTAGGAGATAGACCATCATCGTTTGTACCGACCATGCGTCATCACGCACGGCCGTAAACAGTTTACACCTCTCGCGACGAATGGTGAGGTGGCTGTCTATCTTCGCGGAGTACAACTTCTCCGTCGAGTATAAACCAGGACGGCTTAATGTCGTCGTTGATATTCTTTCGCTTCGGCCAGATTTGGAGCCGACTACTCCACCCAACAGTGAGGGTGGTCCCACTGTTGCAACACTATCATTGAGTGTTCCGTCGTCGAATCCGCTCGACGATGTGCGAAAAGCATACGCAGAGGATGATTCTTTTCTGCGAATTATAGATTTCGCGTCTGCTTTACGCGGTCAAGCTTTAAAAAGTTTGACGTCTCAATACCTCTCTTCAACCGAACGGTATTCTGTTCGTGATGGAATGCTGTACTATGCAGCAGTCAACGGCGACACACCTCGTGTCTTCGTTCCCGCTCAAGATGATTTGCGATTGCGCATCCTGTATGAGTGTCACGATGCCCCCAACAAGTGGGCATCGCGGTAGAGAAAAGACTGACCCCACAGTAAGTCGTGACTTCTACTGACCCCGCCAGTATGAGTTTGTGCGCAAATACATTCGCGCTTGCAAATTTTGCCAACGGGTGAAGCCTAATGCTACATCCCGTGCACCCTTGCAGCCTCTGCCGATTCCAACAGAGTGCTGGCAGTCCGTATCGATAGACTTCGTCTTTGGGTTTCCCAAAGACGTTCACAAGAATACCAGTATTCTTGTGTTCGTTAATAGGTTCATCAAGATAATACATCTTGTTACTGTAATGGAGTCAATCACAGCCCAGGCTGTGCCCGTGTCTTCATCGACACTATCTTCCGACTTCAAGGGTTACCCTGTGAACTATTGTCTGATAGGAACCCCCGCTTTACAGCGGAGTTCTGGCAATCCGTGGCCCTTTCGATTGGAAAACGTTTGAAGATGTCAACTTCTGACCATTCAGAAACAGATGGTCAGACGTAACGCGTCAATTGCGTCCTCGAAGAGATACTTAGAGGGTACGTCAACTCGTTCGCGAGTTGGAGTGAGTTCTTGTCGATGTCGGAATTCGCCATCAAAAACTCGGTGCGAGCGTCGACAACGTAGACACCTTTTTCGTGAATGGCCTACGCCATCCTCGATTACCCACCTTCTTAGAGTTAAAATTTAGTTTAACGGGGGGGTGGACTCGCTCGAGCATAACAATATCTGGTTCTTGCTCATAACACGTCAGCAATGGTGTCGACGTGATGGATGCCGATTTCGATGCGATCGACATCGATGATGATGAAGACGACGATGCTGGTATATTCAGCATCGCCAATGACTGCTACAGTGAGGACGGTGACGCCCTCACTGGTGAAGACAACGTTCTTTCAGCAGTGCACACGAAGAGCACTGCTGTTAACAAGGATGAGTCATCAAAGGAATTCTGCTGACTCGCGAAGCGGTTGTCCGCTTCGTTCAAGACTCTATTGCAGATGCATTAGACAGACAGAAAAGAAACACAGACAAACATGGAAGAGCAAATGTTCTTTCATTTGATGTAGGAAACCTAGTTTACTGTCTACAGTAATTCTACCAAAACACGCAGTGACAAACGTGGGCAGCAGTAAGTTACTGCCCAAGTATATCGGTCCATTTCTTGTTGCGCCGTATGGGCAACGCATTACACAATTGAAGTGCCCCGTAAGATGCGTACGCATCCTAAGTCTTACTTTGGACGTCTCCGCCCATGCTATCAGTACGAGCCCGTTTCGAGATGCGAAGAACACCTCCGCGGTCGATATCCGATACCACCTTCGAGTGGTCTCGTTTCAACGAGCCAGTCTGGTCGACTAGCGAAGTGACCTGCTCACGCAGTTCAGCGATGTCCTGATGAGGTGCAGTTAGCTCTTCACGAAGAGAATGAATCGAACGTTCTTTCTGAAGTTGCGCAAGCACAAACGCGGCACAATTGTTCGAACGATCGCGCGCTAAGGAATGGTAAGTATCCTTTACAAGATCATGGAGATCGTAACGCCGAATGCATTCATGGACCAGGTCGCCTTGTAACTGTTCCGTTACACGGATTAGTTTCTGAACATCAAGCTGATCCGAACCTCGAGCTGGATCAGGTGTTTCCGCCACCACCACATCGATTAGTGAATTCTGGCGGTGGTCACCGCTTTCTGGTGGAGCGTATCTTGAACCATCGCGACGTGAATGGCGTCCGGATGAGTTACCTCGTCCTCTGACGTAACTATCCACCGTCCGGGGACAGCAGGGAGCCTCGCGCTCAGCTGATAGTTGATGTTCCGGGTCTCGTCGAGCAAAATGACGAGACCCACCCGCTGCATTCGAGGAAGGACCGTCGTAAAACGACCTCCCCGAACGCGAGTACAGGATTGCAAAGTGTCGATCCCTTCGGCCATCTCAGACGAGAAATGCACGCCATCCAGTAGGGAATACTAGGGAGGGAGGTCTCTCTTAAGACACGGTTCGAGTTGTCCAGGCAACCTGGACACGAATCACCCCACGAGAGACAGGTTAAACTTGCCTCTCCTGACAGTCGGTGCAACTTGTACAGTACACTGACTGAGTTACGCTTCTCAAACCTGATGCGAGCTGTATCAATTCTACCAAGCCAGGCCTCACGGCCAATGCACTCGATGTAATGGATTAAGTCGTTCCATCCTTGTACCAAGACCTTACTGTCTCGACCACGGCTGCCGTTGTACCACCGATGTTTGAAAATGCATTGGTGAAGAACTCTTTCTCAGCACGGATATTTTACGTGCTGGAATTAGGAGGACAGATCTTCCTACATAGAACAACGGGTTTCTATCCCGATCGGTAGTCATGCCGGTCAACCGGTCCAAACTCTTTGAATGACGGTATCCAAGGAGACTCCACTTGAGGAGCATGGCACAGGCCATTTCGGTCCCTGGTCTCTTGAGTGGGGTCAGCCTGAGCACTGACATCAGTAGCATCGATATCCTTCGAGATGCTTCTCTCGTGGTGACACGTAGGTGCGTCATCTCCATCACCACGCGTCCTATCGTTGGGTGGACTTGCGAGAGACAAGAATTTGTCGGAACAATCGCTCGATCCGAAGATCTCGGACGTGATGCTGCCACGTTCCTCAGAGCCAGTCAACTTTGCTCTTGCAGTGTCCGCATCGGACTATCCGGAGGCGGGAGGCGCCTCCTTCGAGTCGGATACATCATCCGACTCGCCAGAATAGATGAGCTCTATTTCAGACTCATCTATATTACGATTCGCAGTACCCGCTGCAGACGCAGCGGATGTACCTGTCGACCGTGGTGACTCACCTCGTGGACGATTAACAAGAACAGGCAACAAATCACTTGCTGCTGAGGTGTAAGAGGCACTTTCCGCGGCCGCACGCAAGCGTGCAGCCGCCTTTCTTGCTGCTGCAGTAGCAACTCGCACGGGTTTCGAAACCATGCGTTGGATTGGAAAATGAATGGGATTTGACCAACAAGTGCTCCCTTTCACAGAGTGATCCAAAGGAGGTCACCCTTTCCCAATCAATTCTATTTAATCAACGGGTGATTGATGGTTAAGGAAGGTGATGTAACGGATTAGCCCGTTACATGACATTGAAACCAAACAGTGTCAATAGGGAGATTGTCTAGCATGACAATTCCCTACCAATATTATCCGAGACGGACAATATTGAAGTAATTTTATCCCCAATATTCTTGCGCTGCTCAAAGATTGGTTGATGAAAGACATATCAACCATAGATTACCACCAATTGCTGCTAGATGCGCGTAATGAGTGGTGAGCAGGTTGTCGTCATACGACGACGTAGTTTAATATAGTTAGATAAAGATTAGAGTTATATTGATAGCTTAACTGAATATAATACAGTTCTCTTTTTACCCTTTTACTCAACTTATCTGTTGAGTAGATTAGCTTGATCTGCACGTACTAGTGTACGTGAAGTTTCGTGGCACCTCAAACAAAGGGTGCCCCTGTTACGCCTGGTAGTACTTAGTAGTCCGTCCAACGACTGATTAGTGTCCGTCCAATTATGAAAATGTTGGATGTAGAAGACGACAGCTTTCACGTCACACGTAAAGGCGATTCCCATCTGAGTGACTCAGAATGGGAGATAGTCGGCCGCATGAGTGTGCTCATGGGCGAACCCGCCATCAGTGGAATGTTGGAGTCTCAAAACAGAGACGAGCAACATGCTGCTATCAACAAGTTCCTACAAAGGGGAACTTGCCGTCGAACGACAGAAGATAGCCTTACTACATCATCAAGGCTCTCATCAGTCGATGGGTGGGCCGACGCACACGCGTCGACCCGAAAACTTGAAGATAGATATCTCAATGTACAAGGAAACAAATGAAGATTTTATTTTGAGATGGTTCGTCGAGTTATACGACGCCATCAGGGCCCGTCGCATCGAGGATGACGAGATGCAAGTCACCTTCACCCTGTCAAATTTGACAGGACGAGCAAAGACTTGGGCCTTAGGTCTCAAGCTCTACGACCCAAACGTGTTTGAGTCGTTAGGATCTTAGAGTCTTGACTCAAAGAAACGTTTGAGCCACCACGAGCCGAGTCCAGAGCACGCTCTGCACTCCTGAGGCCCAAACAAAGTAAGCGTTATGTGCACGCTTACGCACAACACCTCCGCTACCTTGCGAGTAGCGTCACGGAAAACCTGTTGATGAGCACACGCTCATCGACGTGTTCATCTACGGCCTTGTAGATGGACCGGTGAAGACCTACATGTTCAGAGAGGACTTTCATGCACTGGAAAATGCGATAGCGTATGCGGAACAAGAATACTTCAGCCTGAGAAAGTCTCAGGCTAACTCTTCAATCAATCGTCCGACGAAACAACAGGAAACAGAAGGTCCCGAACCTACGGATCTCTGTTGCATCGAGAGCGAGAACTCTCGCTCTCTGATTCACAAGAGAACGGCAAGATGCCATCGCTGTCAGAAGATTGGGCACTACGCTCATGATTATAGTGTCCCAAGCCCCACATCAAGTCCAATAACAGGACGAGATGACCGCCTTTGGCCAAGGAAGGGTCCGAGGTGTGGGTCTGACCATGTCGCTAAGCCGCGACAGAAAGTCGGATCGTCAAAAACGGTCAGGGTCAGTAGGGGCGGAGCACCCTTCTGATCCAGCAACGTCAAGAGAATTCGCAGTTGCTCCCAGTACACAGTATCGGTGTGCTACTGCTCCTAGTGATGAGGTGTCACTCATCACTTTAAAGATCAAAGTGACAAGTGGAATGTCACTTCGCGCCCTAGTTGACTGTGGGGCGCCGAACAGTTTCATTCGACACCAGTCGCTAGAGGACAGTAGGCTTAACTATGCTGAGCGAGAGTTCCCTCTAACGAGGATGAAGGTGTGCCTTGCTACAGGCGCATCCATAACAGTGAACGAACGTCTAGTGGGAATCCACTACACGCTAGAAGGAAAGCAGTACGATGATGACTTTATCCTACTGGATTTGGATGTCAAATTTGATTTCATCCTCGGTCTGCCATGACTTAGAAGGTACTAGCCATGGATCAGCTGGCAGCATCGATCCGTGAAGATTCCTGCCGTTTGTTCATCAGATGGCCATCTGATGAACGTCTTGGAGCTTTCACAAGCGTGTGGATGTACTACGAGTGAGGGCGATGACCTCACTTGTGGTACGGTCGTTAGTATGACTGCATAAGATCACAGTGTAGGAGGCCACTACACTGTGGAACCAGCTTCCGGCACCTGTGTAGAGACACAGGCTGCACCGAGGGTTCACCACTTGAAGAGGTCGAGTGGACTGAAACACGGATGCACACCATGAACACACACAGTGCATCCAAGAAGAGAATTTAATGTCGTTCAGGATGAACAACATGCTTAAGCGAGATCGATAAATAGAGTCGATCGTAGCGCAAACACGATCGAATGAAATAGAATCGATCGAAGAGGGCATGACTGTGGAGTGCACCCACAGTCAGTACACATATTGGAAGGAGGTTCCAGCGTTCCTGAGAGTGATAACTCCCGAAAGAGTTACGTCGAGGGTGTGGATTCCCAATCAACTGCAGATGTGTTTTCCCAGGAAATTACCGCGACAGTGAATGTCTTGGTGAATGACGGATCAAGTGTAGGCGCTTACACACTTGATCTGGTTACACCTCCGAATTCAGATTTGAAGGTAATCAAGTTGCCAACGCTAGAATCTAAAAGGTTCTTGCGAGATCTGCGTAGTGACAAGATCAAGCTGATCTGCGTATTCGTCACAGAGGACGAGTACGTCACCGATGTTAGGTCGGCACAAGTTCTTACTGAGAACGAACGGGTTTTCAGTAGCTCATCGATGGACGAGAGTGTCCTCGATGAGAATACCCGGATTGAGCGGTACACGTCTCAATCTTGGGAGTCTTTGAAGACAAATCCTTTGTATAAGAATGTGGTGGAATTCAGGGATGTTTTCCCTGAATGCGTGCCATGCGAGCTGCCTAAGGACAAAGGCACTCGGCATGAGATCGAACTAAAATTCGATTCGAAGTACTGTGTCATGAAGCAGTGGCTACTGCCTCGTGAACAGGTCACAGCGTTCGACAAATTCTTTGCCGATCGTTTAGCGGCTGGTCATGTGAGGGAATCAACATCCCCACACAGCTCTTTGAACTTCTGTGTTTGAAAAACCATAGGAGGGTGGCGGGTAGTGCACGCGTTCAACAAATTAAACGCTGCAACGGTACCGGCTCAAACGCCGATACCAAGGAAGGAAGTCATCATTGATGGTATGGCAAAAAACGCCATCTTTTCGTCCATGGATCTGATGGATAGATTCTATCAGATCCTCATTCGTGAAAGGGACATCCCGTACACAACAGTGAACACCCCAGTGGTATGCTCTGGGAGTGGCTAGTGATGCTACAGGAGCTATGTAACGCCTCTGCAACGTTTATAAGATGTGTTACGAATCTGTTGCGATCGGTGCGAGATTTTGCACCGAGTTACATCGACGATGTCTTCGTCCGTGGCCGGGCCATGGATGAAAAGACGGACGTGGAGGTTCATCGAATCCACGTCCGGGAGGTTCTTACACTTATGCGAGAGCGTAAGTTGTTTGCGAGCCTCAAGAAGTGTATATTCGCAGCAAGCGAAATACCTCTTCTTGGCTGTATCGTCGGTAAACACGGTGTACGCTCTGATCCAGAAAAGATCAAGGCGATTAGTGACTGTCTTGTGCCAGTCAACTTCAAGGGACTTCGAAAGTTCATTGGATTAGTGGCGTACTTGCACAAGAACTCGCGCAAGTACGCCGAGATGACCGTACATCTCTCTCGTCTGTTAAAGAAAACAGAGGTGATCATGGAGTGCTGAGTGTCAGCACTCCTTCGAAAAGTATCAAGAAAAGCTTGGAGCAACCGCCTGTGTTGGCGACTGCAGACCAGTAAAGACCATTCCATGTGGTCTGTAAAATGACGCCAGCCATTTTGCAATCGGCTGCGCGTTAATGCAGTACGACTCAGACAGCGTTGGGCGCGTCGTACGATATCAATCGCGTCAGCTGCAAGCAGCTAAGTGATATTACCCGGTGCATTACAAGGAGCTCCTTGCCATGAAAAATGCACTGGCTTAGTTTCGGGTATTTCTCTTAGGAGATAGACCATCATCGTTTGTACCGACCATGCGTCATCACGCACGGCCGTAAACAGTTTACACCTCTCGCGACGAATGGTGAGGTGGCTGTCTATCTTCGCGGAGTACAACTTCTCCGTCGAGTATAAACCAGGACGGCTTAATGTCGTCGTTGATATTCTTTCGCGTCGGCCAGATTTGGAGCCGACTACTCCACCCAACAGTGAGGGTGGTCCCACTGTTGCAACACTATCATTGAGTCTTCCGTCGTCGAATCCGCTCGACGATGTGCGAAAAGCATACGCAGAAGATGATTCTTTTCTGCGAATTATAGATTTCGCGTCTGCTTTATGCGGTCAAGCTTTAAAAAGTTTGACGTCTCAATACCGCTCTTCAACTGAACGGTATTCTGTTCGTGATGGAATGCTGTACTATGCAGTAGTCAACGGCGACACACCTCGTGTCTTCGTTCCCGCTCAAGATGATTTGCGATTGCGCATCCTGTATGAGTGTCACGATGCCCCCAACAAGTGGGCATCGCGGTAGAGAAAAGACTGACCCCACAGTAAGTCGTGACTTCTACTGGCCCCGCCAGTATGAGTTTGTGCGCAAATACATTCGCGCTTGCAAATTTTGCCAACGGGTGAAGCCTAATGCTACATCCCGTGCACCCTTGCAGCCTCTGCCGATTACAACAGAGTGCTGGCAGTCCGTATCGATAGACTTCGTCTTTGGGTTTCCCAAAGACGTTCACAAGAATACCAGTATTCTTGTGTTCGTTAATAGGTTCATCAAGATAATACATCTTGTTACTGTAATGGAGTCAATCACAGCCCAGGCTGTGCCCGTGTCTTCATCGACACTATCTTCCGACTTCAAGGGTTACCCTGTGAACTATAGTCTGATAGGAACCCCCGCTTCACAGCGGAGTTCTGGCAATCCGTGGCCCTTTCGATTGGAAAACGTTTGAAGATGTCAACTTCTGACCATTCAGAAACAGATGGTCAGACGTAACGCGTCAATTGCGTCCTCGAAGAAATACTTAGAGGGTACGTCAACTCGTTCGCGAGTTGGAGTGAGTTCTTGTCGATGTCGGAATTCGCCATCAAAAACTCGGTGCGAGCGTCGACAACGTAGACACCTTTTTCGTGAATGGCCTACGCCATCCTCGATTACCCACCTTCTTAGAGTTAAAATTTAGTTTAACGGGGGGGGTGGACTCGCTCGAGCATAACAATATCTGGTTCTTGCTCATAACACGTCAGCAATGGTGTCGACGTGATGGATGCCGATGTCGATGCGATCGACATCGATGATGATGATGACGACGATGCTGGTATATTCAGCATCGCCAATGACTGCTAAAGTGAGGAAGGTGACGCCCTCACTGGTGAAGACAACGTTCTTTCAGCAGTGCACACGAAGAGCACTGCTGTTAACAAGGATGAGTCACCAAAGGAATTCTGCTGACTCGCGAAGCGGTTGTCCGCTTCGTTCAAGACTCTATTGCAGATGCACTAGACAGACAGAAAAGAAACACAGACAAACATGGAAGAGCAAATGTTCTTTCATTTGATGTAGGAAACCTAGTTTACTGTCTACAGTAATTCTACCAAAACACGCAGTGACAAACGTGGGCAGCAGTAAGTTACTGCCCAAGTATATCGGTCCATTTCTTGTTGCGCCGTATGGGCAACGCATTACACAATTGAAGTGCCCCGTAAGATGCGTACGCATCCTAAGTCTTACTTTGGACGTCTCCGCCCATGCTATCAGTACGAGCCCGTTTCGAGATGCGAAGAACACCTCCGCGGTCGATATCCGATACCACCTTCGAGTGGTCTCGTTTCAACGAGCCAGTCTGGTCGACTAGCGAAGTGACCTGCTCACGCAGTTCAGCGATGTCCTGATGAGGTGCAGTTAGCTCTTCACGAAGAGAATGAATCGAACGTTCTTTCTGAAGTTGCGCAAGCACAAACGCGGCACAATTGTTCGAACGATCGCGCGCTAAGGAATGGTAAGTATCCTTTACAAGATCATGGAGATCGTAACGCCGAATGCATTCATGGACCAGGTCGCCTTGTAACTGTTCCGTTACACGGATTAGTTTCTGAACATCAAGCTGATCCGAACCTCGAGCTGGATCAGGTGTTTCCGCCACCACCACATCGATTAGTGAATTCTGGCGGTGGTCACCGCTTTCTGGTGGAGCGTATCTTGAACCATCGCGACGTGAATGGCGTCCGGATGAGTTACCTCGTCCTCTGACGTAACTATCCACCGTCCGGGGACAGCAGGGAGCCTCGCGCTCAGCTGATAGTTGATGTTCCGGGTCTCGTCGAGCAAAATGACGAGACCCACCCGCTGCATTCGAGGAAGGACCGTCGTAAAACGACCTCCCCGAACGCGAGTACAGGATTGCAAAGTGTCGATCCCTTCGGCCATCTCAGACGAGAAATGCACGCCATCCAGTAGGGAATACTAGGGAGGGAGGTCTCTCTTAAGACACGGTTCGAGTTGTCCAGGCAACCTGGACACGAATCACCCCACGAGAGACAGGTTAAACTTGCCTCTCCTGACAGTCGGTGCAACTTGTACAGTACACTGACTGAGTTACGCTTCTCAAACCTGATGCGAGCTGTATCAATTCTACCAAGCCAGGCCTCACGGCCAATGCACTCGATGTAATGGATTAAGTCGTTCCATCCTTGTGCCAAGACCTTGCCGTCTCGACCACGGCTGCCGTTGTACCACCGATGTTTGAAAAATGCATTGGTGAAGAACTCTTTCTCAGCACGGATATTTTACGTGCTGGAATTAGAAGGACAGATCTTCCTACAATAGAACAACGGAATTCTATCCCGATCGGTAGTCATGCCGGTCAACCGGTCCAACTCTTTGGATGACGGTATCCAAGGAGACTCCACTTGAAAAGCATGGCGCAGGACATTACGGTCCATGGTTTCTTGAGTGGGGTCAGCATGAGCACTGACATCAGTAGCATCGATATCCTTCGAGATGCTTCTCTCGTGGTGACACGTAGGTGCGTCATCTCCATCACCACGCGTCCTATCGTTGGGTGGACTTGCGAGAGACAAGAATTTGTCGGAACAATCGCTCGATCCGAAGATCTCGGACGTGATGCTGCCACGTTCCTCAGAGCCAGTCAACTTGGCTCTTGCAGTGTCCGCATCGGACTATCCGGAGGCGGGAGGCGCCTCCTTCGAGTCGGATACATCATCCGACTCGCCAGAATAGATGAGCTCTATTTCAGACTCATCTATATTACGATTCGCAGTACCCGCTGCAGACGCAGCGGATGTACCTGTCGACCGTGGTGACTCACCACGTGGACGATTAACAACAACAAGCGACGAATCACCTGCTGCTGAGGTGTAAGAGGCACTTTCCGCGGCCGCACGCAAGCGTGCAGCCGCCTTTCTTGCTGCTGCAGTAGCAACTCGCACGGGTTTCGAAACCATGCGTTGGATTGGAAAATGAATGGGATTTGACCAACAAGTGCTCCCTTTCACAGAGTGATCCAAAGGAGGTCACCCTGTCCCAATCAATTCTATTTAATCAACGGGTGATTGATGGTTAAGGAAGGTGATGTAACGGATTAGCCCGTTACATGACATTGAAACCAAACAGTGTCAATAGGGAGATTGTCTAGCATGACAATTCCCTACCAATATTATCCGAGACGGACAATATTAAAGTAATTTTATCCCCAATATTCTTGCGCTCCTCAAAGATTGGTTGATGAAAGACATATCAACCATAGATTACCACCAATCGCTGCTAGATGCGCGCAATGAGTGGTGAGCAGGTTGTCGTCATACGACGACGTAGTTTAATATAGTTAGTTAAAGACTGAAGTTATATTGATAGCTTAACTGAATATAATACAGTTCTCTTTTTACCCTTTACTCAAACCAGCTGTTGAGTAGATTAGCTTCCTCTGCACGTACTAGTGCACGTGAAGTTTCGTGGCACCCCAAGAAAAGGGTGCCCCGTTACAAAGAAGGAGTCGGCTATGTTTTGCAAAGATGATATAGGATGTACCAAAAGACTCGTAAAGGATAGATTCATTCAGTGCATCGAAGTAATTAGATGCTTTTAACGAAATTGGCCAATGAGATGGAACAGACATGCCTTTCCACAATTGAATCAACAACACAACAGTGGTAGCGTACCTGCATTTTCAACAATTACAATTGAACGAGTGCAACTGTAACTGCAATATCAAAATTAACATCAGACACAAAAGCAACAAAAATCAAATCAATTACATCAATGGAAATAACAGCAGCACAGGTAGTCTGTGTGCAAGACCGCGGGAGATGATAGGTACACGTGCCACGTCTATCAACCACCGTCCGCGCGCGCGCAGAACTTCGTCTGGAGCTGCTTCTATCAAGCGACGGTCGAGCAGCACCTACCTTGAGATCGAGAGAATATTACTCATGAGAAATGACTGGCGATATGAGTTTATATGTGTACCTCTTCAACATGAGTATACTAGGACGTGGGGCCTTTTTCTAGTTTTCAAATATCTAGGGCATTTTTTGTTTCCAAATATCTGGGGCATTTTTATTTTTCGATTATCTAGGGCATTTTTATCTTCCAATTATCTGGGGCATCTTTTTTATTTTCGTGATGAAATGGTGCATCTTTCCCGGTCAAGAAATGTGGACGTGGGCAGCGCTGGACAACCAATCTACATTGTGTTGCGTATACATGTAATTCCTGATGGCGCATTCACATAGGGGAACAAACGGATTAGGGACGATGATGTTGTTTGGTCATTTCGATAGGTTTTATCCGACCGGTGGTGTGATTTAGTCATGTCGTCGTGGGCTGACGTCAACGATCAAAGACAAGTAGCATCGAAAGACCGAGAAGCGGATTGACATGTGACGGTAATTAAGAGATGACGGCGGCGTGTCGCTGCATAGTTCAAAACGAGTCACGTGCCATTCCACCTGGAGCTGAAGCCTCTGTCAGCAGATGATGATCCCTACGTAGCTCACATGCTTACCATTTACCGTTCCTCGTTGTTTTGCATTTACTTGATGGCGGTGCTACTGCCACGCCGACCACGACCGCTATGAACAATAGCCATACAGCAAAAGGAATGAAACACAAGGAAGTTTGTCAAGCAATGATGAATCCTGTGTATTGACACTCCGCTATCGTCAGCTGCTGAATCCCCAAGGGTTGGCTAGCAGGCGGACTCGCGCAGCGTCAAGAGCTAGCCAAGGTGCTCTCATGCCCGTAATCATTTAAACTGAGGTGAAGGAGCTTTTTCTTTCGATCCGCAGTGACGATGGCAGCAGCTTTCAAAGTTGTCGAATGGCATCTGGTCGTAGCAATGGCCAGATGCGGCTCCGTCTCGTCCGTCGCATTCGTATCGGGTCTTGCTACAGACCAGGTTAGACGGATTGGGGGAGCACGCGTTGGCGCAGCACTGCTGAAATCCGGAGAGGGTTTTGTCCATCTTGTTGCAGTACAAGGACGCGCCTTCGTCGCTGCTGCCACATGCATAACCAGCCTTGGTGCAGGTATTGCCCGGCGGATTGAGGACAGGCGGGCACGTTTTGATGCAGCAACTATGAAAGTCGTCAATCGACTTCCCCGCGCGGCAAGCCTTGGACGCGCTTTGGTCACTGTCGCCGCATGGGACTTCGGCCGCGCTGCTGCAGAGGACAGCGGCATCGGGGCACTGCTTGAAGCAGCAGCGCTTGAACTCGAACATGGACTGCGGTTCCGTGTTCTTGTGGCACGAATCGGTTGCAGAGGTGTCCTGCTTGCCGCATGGAATAGAAGCCGAGCTGCAGAGAGTGCCCGGCGAAACGGACGGATAAATGCCAGGCCCACCACCAGCGTCTTCCATGGCAGTACTGGAGGCGACGGCAGCCATGAAAAGGACAAGGGAGGCGGGGACGTGCATCTTCGCTGGAGTGTCAGTGAGGTGTGGGTGGCGCGCTGTGCGGTGTGAGTGGCAAAACGCGGAATGACAGTGTTGACAGCACTGCTCGAGAATGAGGTGTGCTACTCCAGGGCAGTCGAGATACAAAGTCAGTTGGGAGGCTGCCGTGCAAACGCTACGTTAGAGGAGGAAGACACCGTTACAGCCGCACAGAACTGCCAGTGCTAGGGGCGCAACCACAGGGTTCAGCCGGTTGCGATCGGCTTGCGGAATACCAGCTAGCTCTCCCCTACGGCAACACCACCAGAGATACATCGACGACAAAAAAGAGCGCACGCGCGTTGTCACGATCGAGCGACAGGATGGGACGCCTCGTCGAGCGATGGGAAATGTACTATCCTGTTGTCTGTATGCGAGAAGCAAAACACAGAGAGAAACAGAATACACAGAGAACAGTGAGTGACGATCAGCTGGCTCGACCAGCCCTCATCGATCGGTCGGCTTCAGGATGTTATAACGCTTTGCATTATTTGTTGTCGTATCGCGCCGCTCTGATCAGCTAAGTACATGTACCACAATAAGATGCGCTAGACGGTTTGCCATGTACGTTTTTAGACTTTATACCGACAAGCTACATCCGATCTGGAACTACGGGAGTTGAGTAGCTGGCTCGAGTTACATCTCAACGATCAAAATTTTGGTGGATACCTCATGCGTTTACTTGGGCGTATCGCATGATGAACTAGCAAGGAAATCGTATGGACTCGTCGTTGATGATGCTGGAAGAGCTCTTTCAATCTCGGTGTTCAAAATTTTAAGACGATACCACGCGACAAACGCACAACGAATGGAATTCTCATCGCAGTAGCATAGGATACTACTAACGTTCTGCAAGCAAAACAGGGATCAGCTGGATGCCATCGGCTGCCTGAATCCCAGCCTGCTCTCCCCTACGGCAACACCAGAGGTACGTCTACACAGCAACAACAAAAAAGGACGTGCGTCATCGCGATCAAACGACAGAATGGGACGTCTTAACGGCCCACACAACTAGAAATTTAGGTAAAATGTTCCTGTTAGCCCATTTTACTCTTACCAGAATTAAAACCATTTAAAACACATGCTGACTCAGTTTCGAGCGGACATTTTACTTCAGAAAATCTCGTACAGTCGAATAAGGATCTTGGAATGCGATAAGGAGCCTTCGTTTTCATCAAAGGGCCTCAACCTCTCGTATTTTTTAGAGTGGTTGTATTAGAAGGCGTCTCACCAAATGATGTTACCTTTATAGATTCAGACCACCCTTCTTTTTGGTGTGCTTGATTGTGATTCCGTCCCACTCAGCAGCTGCATGTTTGTCAACAGATTAACGAGCTTACTCCAGCATGTTGTAGACAGCTTCGAGAAACAAAAGGATACTTGAAGGACTATTTATTCTTAATTAAAGGGAGTTTAAGTACGTGGTGATGGTGCCCAAATATAAAGATAGGGGAACCTGATAGGGAAGCCTGCTCCGTAGCTCGCCCTTTGAGATTAGTTATCCAGTTTCGAGAACTGAATCAGGTTCCAAAACACTACACAACAGTAGTCACAGAAGAATGAGCACGATGCTGTTGATGTTCGTTTCAACCCAGAGCAGTGTACTTGAGCAACATCAGCCTTTGCTTATGAGGGTCCAGCATTTGCTGATGTGATCACATTCATGTTTGATCGATGATATGCGAGTGACGTGCATGCATCACCATCGTGACCTCGTCAGAGAGTGACTTTGAATACACCGATTACCTCATGAGGACAGCACAGGCTATCTCGCACTGAGTACGGGTAAGATACACCAAGCCGCGTTATTCATGGACAGACAGACAAACACGCACAGGTAAGTACGAATTTCGAATTCGGCATTCGCCTTGCTCATAGTCACTAATGCTTCACATTTCAGGCTCGCAATTGGAAGCTTCTGGACTATGAAGTCGACACCCGTGACGAGCTAGACCAACTGACAGTGCAGTATGGCTATGTCACCGCAATTGGCAACAGCAACAAAGGGTGGGGACCTTTAAGGAATATGACTTGATAGCAGTGAATGCAGTACCAGCAGATTCAGCACTTACAGCAGCGCGACACATCAACGATTTAGAGACATTCGTCCTGTACTTGATGCTAAAAATACCCTCTTGATGTTCAATCGTTAATGTAGGTGTATAGAAGTGGGTCACTCTTCATTAAATCCTCTCTCTGCAACACCCATACTTCCAAGTGCTTGTCATATTTCACTTGTGGTTGCGTCATTTATTGTTTTGGAAGGTTCTAAAAATCCAGATCTAAATTACAGTGATATAATCAATCAATTTTAAATAGATACTTGAAAGTGGAAAAGAAAATGGTTGTAACGGGGTGAATCGTTACATAACAATTTATAAGAAATTGTTAATAGAATATAACTATAAGAGTTATATTCTCAGAATATTGTCATAAGGACAATATTCTGTAGCACTTCCAAGTAGTTCCTAATTGGTTGATATAGGCCATTATATCAACCAACGAAGACGCGCCACGACAGACGCACGCAATGAGTGGTGAGCAGATAACTGATTTACACATTTGTATTTAGACATAGTTAGATGAAGATAAATAGTGATTTATTGCAGACATTAACTATTATAAATACAGTTCTACTTTTTACTCTAACCAAGTACTCGCTTCTTCTTACCGTCTTCCTCTGCACGTACGAGTGTACGTGAAGTTCCGAGGCACCGCCTTATTCTGTCATCAGAATAAGTAGCTTGTACTGTCACCAGTACAAGCTTCAGGGTGCCCCGTTACACCTGGTAGCACTTCGTAGTCCGTCCAAGGACCGCGTTCACATCCAACATGAATATGTTGGATGATGAAGATGACCAAAGCTTTCACGCTACGCGTGACGGCTACTCCCATTTGAGCGATGTCGAATGGGATGCGGTTGAACGAATGGGTTCGACCATGGGCATCCATGCTGTTAGCGTCATGCTAGAGGCTCTCAATAGAGATGCCCAACATGCTACTATCGCCAAGTTCATTCAAAATGAACTTGACGCAGAACGCGAGAAAGTAGCCTTGCTTCACCAACAAGGTTCTCAACAAGCAGAGTTGTTGAGAGAACAAGGTGCTCAACAGTTTGAACTGTTGAGACAGCAGCAGGCTGCTGCTGGCGGGTCGATGCACTCGCGTCGGCCCGAGACTTTGAAGATTGACATCTCAAAGTATAGGGGGTCGAAGAAGACTCCCTCTTGAGATGGTTCGTCGAATTGGATGACGCCATAAGGGCGCGTCGCATCGACGACGGGGATATGCAAGTTGCATTTGCCCAGTCAAATCTGGCAGGACGTGCCAAGACTTGGGCACTGGGGCTCAAGCTGCACGACCCATATGCGTTTGGGTCGTTGGAAGTCTTCAAGTCGCGGCTCAGACAAACGTTTGAACCGCCTAGAGCTGAGTTCAGAGCTCGAACCGAACTCTTGAAGCTCAAGCAGGGTAAGCGTGATGTGCACGCTTACGCTCAACATATACGACATCTCACGAGTTGTATAAGTTCCAATCCGGTGGATGAACACACGTTGGTTTCGGTGTTCATGCAGGGTCTTGCGGATGGTCCCGTCAAGACTCACCTGTTCCGGCTTGAACTAGATTCACTAGAACAAGCCATTTCAATTGCGGAGCAGGAAGACTTCAGTCTGAGACAGGCTCGCGCCAGCTCGACATCATATCGTCAACCGAGACGATATGACAACGGAGGTCCAGAGCCGATGGAACTCTGTTATGTAGAGAGCGAGAAGGCTCGCTCTACAGGCTACAAGAAGTTGCAGAGATGCAACAGATGTCAAAAGACAGGACACTACGCTTACGAGTGTAGTGCCCCTCGTCCAGTGTCTCGCGACACTGGGCGTAGTGACCGTCCACCCATGAGAAAGGGGCAGGGACGAGGGTCCGCAGTTGGTGCAAAGACGCAACAACGGGATGGACCGTCAAAAAACGGACAGGATCAGTAGGTGCGGAGCACCCTACTGATCCAGCAACGTCAAGAGAATTTGTAGGCCTCTTGATGAAGGTTGCTCCCAACACACAGACATTGTGCGTTGCTGCTCTAGGTAATGAGATCTCACTCATTACCTTGAAACTCGAAGTGACGAATAAGTTGTCCCTTCGAGCTCTAGTCGATTGTGGGGCGTCCAACAATTTTGTGCGACGCCAATCGCTAGAAGATGGTCACTTTAAATTCAGTGAATGTGACACACCTCCTACGAGGATGACGGTACGTCTTGCGACAGGCGCATCCGTAACCGTCATGAAGCGTATAGTGAAGATTCACTATACGCTAGAAGATACCCAATACGACGATGACTTTATCGTATTGGATTTGGATGACAAATTTGATGTCATCCTTGGAATACCGTGGCTCAGAAGGTACGAACCACGGGTAAACTGGCAACATCGAACATTAACGATGCCTGCCGCTTGTTCATCAGATGGCCATCTGATGAACGTTTTGGAGCGTCCACAAGCGTGTGGATGTACTACGAGTGAGTGCGATGGCCTCACTTGTGGTACGGTCGTTAGTACGACTGCACAAAACCTTAGTGTACCAAACGGTTACACTTCGGAGCAAAGTTCCGGCGGCTGTGAGGAAACACAGGCTGCGCCGAAGGTCCACCACTCGAATAAGTCGGGTGGACTGGGACAAAGATGTATCCCTAGAGGGGAACATCTAGAAGAGAAACAATCGATCGCTCAGGTTAAGCGAAACGATAATCCTAGATCGACTGGAGAGTCTTTCGTAGAGGATCTCGCTGTGGTTGCGCAACCCCAGCTAGAGGAAGTAAAGGGAATAAGTCCCAAGATTACAAATACGGCGGAAATAAGTTCCCCGAAACCCGCGGGAATAAGTCCCCGGGAAGACGAAGGAATAAGTCCTTCGAAGCCTGAGGGAATAAGTCCCCAGGAAATGACAGAGACATTGAATGTCATAGTCAATAACGGATCATGTG